TTTTTTTGATTGATCCTTTGGTGTTTCTGAGCAAACCAATCTGAAAGCAAATATTTTCATTTCCTCTTCAAAATCATCTTTAGTTTCCATATGGTGGTTTGCAGTGTTTTGTGTACTACCTATGTGATACTTACAGTTTTATTTGTGTATAATAGTCAGATTAGCCTTTTAGCAGTGTACATTGTAACAGCACAACTGACTAAAAGTTCTACAGCTGCTCTGGAGTATAAGAGTTATTATTTAGAATTTAAAAGCACTTCCAAGCATTCTCAAAACAGGATGTGGGGATTTGAAGCATGGAAGTGTTGTTTTATAAATACACATTGCAGTTAGTACTATCCTGATGGCAGCTAAAATTAAAGTGGCAGTTGGTTTAGGTCATCCTAACACCTCTCTGGTGTGGAACTGTAACTGATGCTAGAGGAAGAGGTTGTGTTTCTCTGGGAACTTGGGTATCAGCAGCACTGACTCAAATAATTCCGCTGAAGCTGTGAGGCTCTTCGTCAAATGTCCTTCTGATTCTTAACAAAGGTTAACTTGGGAAAAGCAGCTACCTTATGCTTTATGAAAGTGTCTCCAGAGGAACTGGAACAACTTATTTTGATGGTTTCAAAAAGTTGTTATTGATCTGACTGTACTGAAATGTAGGGAACTTGGAGCCTTCATGGTAATAATGGGGAACTGCAACACTGTTTTTAGACTTCGGGGTGAGAAAGAGTCAGCAGTGCCGAGTGCATTTCCAACCACAATAGAAGTAAAATGTGCACAGTAACTTGTAAAACCTCCAGTTTACATCACAAAATAGATTAAATTTCCAGGTCTGCGCAGAGCCATGTTCTGCGATTCAGAATGAGGGAACAAAACTTCCACTGAGGTGCAGTGGACCTATTGCACTGTAAACATGCAGGCTTGTGAAGACATCTCTTTTAATCCAATAGAAATATTGCTGATAAATGGAACTTACTTGTTACCTCTGCATGCAGATCACATTGGAACATTTCTGCGGTGAAATGTCTGCTGCACAACCTGTACCTGTTCGCTCTTGCATCACTTTTACATTAGTCATCACAGTGACTAGTGAGCAGGAAGGGCCGCATCACTTCGCAATTCATGGGAACTCAAATACGAGTTTGTGATAACGTGGCGACTCGCAGTACTTTCACCAAGTTAATGATTTTGAGTTTAATTTGAATTTTAATGTTTTTTTATATACAGTATATGGTCAATGAATTTATATTGGGACTGAGTTTTAATAACTGGTCTGAGACATTGTTCCCCTTTAAACCAAAACAGGATGCTATGGGGAACTACAACAGGTCAAGCAGCAGTCAGGGGGTTTTGGGTTTGTAAATGGAAGGTTGTGAGTTCAAATCCCAGGCTAGGTACTGCTGTTTTACCCCTGAACACAATAAAATACCCAGGTGTATAAATGTCCAAATGTAAGCCAGTTTGGATAAAAGCACCAGACAAATAAATGAGTAATTAGTAATTTTATAGGTAATTGGAAGAAATCATGTTTTTAATCAAAATCACTGTAGCAGGTCTTGCTTTTGCTCATCTGATCAGTCAAGCAGTTTCCGTTTGCAGTCCTTCCCTTGTTTTTTGAAGTATGCTTACACTGTGCTCCTGTCATTGCCACCTGGCTTATACAGTGTTTTGGATAAGTATTTACGCCTTCCAGTGATGTACCAACCGTATTGTTGATCTGCAAATGGTATGCACACATTTTTTAAAACAAATCTTTTTATTCAAAACCTGAATACCCAAACTAAACCCTTTCATGGGTGAAAGAATTTGAACATCAGCCAACACTCAGAATTAAAAACTAAAAATCAAAAACATGAAAAGGGTGGTTGCGTGAGTATTTATTTCCGTCAAGCCAATACGACTAGTACTTGGTCCTACACTCATGCTTGAAAGTTGGTCATTATTTTAGATATAGAGATATTATATGAACCTGAACTGTTGAATGAATTAATATATAGAATTAATATCCTAAATAAAGACGTCCCACACACAAAAAGGGATTTGAACCCGCAGATTATTAGACTGTGATATTTAACAAATCACCAGATATTCCTGTGTGCAGAAGTAAATGAACAGTCAATAACATGTGGCACCTCCATTAGCAGCAGTAACTTCCCGCAGTCGCCTCCTATAACCAGTTGTCAGTCCCTGACATCTTGCTGGAGGGTTTCTTTCCCCCACTCCTCTTTGCAATACTCCGCCAGCTCTGTGAGGTTTGAAGGATGTCTTGCATGAACAGCCCCCTTCAGGTCCTGCCACAGCATTTCAATAGGAGTCAGGTCAGGGCTATGGTTTGGCCATTCCAGGACACGGAAACGCTTCTTCCTAAGCCATTCTTTAGTGGACTTACTTACTGTAAATGTTTTGGATCGTTGTCTTTTTGAAACATCAGCTTTGTGCCCAGCTTGAGTTTTCAAACTGATGGCCCGTCATTCTTCTCAAGAATTCACGATTCCCTCAGTGATGTCTAGTTGCCCAGGGCCAGAGAAAGAAAAACAGCCCCATACAAGGACACTCCCACCACCATGCTTGACAGGAGGGATAAGGTTTTTTTGGTGGTAGGCTGTGTTGGCTCTTCGTCAAACATGGGGCCCTCTTGTTGTACCCAAATAGTTCAATTGTGGGACTCATCTGTCCAGAGAACAGACTTCCAGAACTCTTCAGGCTTGTCCAGGTGGTCTCTGGCAAACTCCAGACGGGCAGCTTTGCTCTTTTTGACAGAAGAGGCTTCTTCCTGGTGACCCTTCCATAGATGTCCTTTCTGTTCAGGGGTCTTCTTATCGTTGATCTATGCACCACTACTCCAGAGGCAGCTAGGGAGGCTTGTCGACCTCTGGATGTTATTTCAGGATGACGCTTTACCTCTTTTATCATTCTGCTCGTGGCCCTGGGTGAAATTTCAATAGGACGTCCACTTCCTGGCAGGGTTGCTATCGTTTTAAATGCCCTCCACTTGTATACTTTTTGCCTCGCAGTGGATTTACGGAGTCCGAATCTTTTTGAAATGGCTTTATAACCTTGTCCAGATTGATGAGCATCCACTGCTTTTTCCCTCAGTTCTGCTGATGTTTCCTTGGTTCGAGGCATGATGCTGGACTCGTACTGCAGGAAGAGTTACTGACCTGCTTTTTTGCAATTATTTATGTTTGCTCCTCCCTAGCACATAACTTCAGATCTTCAGTTTCATTGGTTACCATTCTGTCATTGACCCACCTGCTCCTGCTTCACCTTGATGTAAGTTGTAGAACTAAGGGTTCACTTATTTTTTGCACCTGCACAATTTCTGTATACTGTGTGTGTTATTGTGCTGCATGGACATTTTTCTTTTAAAACACTCAAAGTGGTGAATAATTATGCTTTATTTCAAGTGACAATTTCTGATTAAATATGCATTTTGTGGTTAAGAAACCAATAAATCTCACATTATGCAATGGGGTCACAAACGTTCAGGCATGACTGTAGCATCCTTGGCATCAGGTACACCTGTGAAACGTTTTGGATAAGTCTCTGCCCACTTTGCAAACCAGCGCTGTGCAAATTTCACCCATTATTCTTTATAAACTTGCCCAGGCTCTGTCAGTTGGGTTAGGGGTTGTCTAGGGACAGCAATTTTCCAGTCTTGACATGGATTTTCCATCACATTGAAGTCATGACATACTGGGCCAGTCAAGAACATACACTGACAAGATGAAAGTGAAACTTTGGACTTCTGCTTCGGGTCATTGTCCTGCTGAAAGATTTAATTTTATCCCCGTACTTTTCTCCATCCATTTTCCCCTTGAGCTTGACAAGCTTCCCAGTCCCTGCTGGTGAGACGTTGCCCTAATGCCTCTACCACACAGCTTGACAGTAGGGATGTTGTCGCCTGTGTGTTGTGCTGTATACATTATATGTTGTGTGCTTTTCAATTGGGCTTCTTTATGAAGTGGCTCAGTTAATTTTTAGATTCACGTTAGCTGCTAAACTACCAGGCAGTAGGACTAAATGGCATCTGATCTGCAGCCGTTCTCACTTGAGCCCAGGAGAACAAAGCCGTGCAGAAGGTGAATGGAAATGAAAAGTTGGAATAGGAAACTGACATTTAATTTCTCCTAGACGCCTCTTGCAAATGTAGAGAGCTAAAACACAGCTTATTATTGGAGTGAGAAAATACGTGCCTAATATCTGCACAGCTGCCTGCCCCTCATGATCCATTTGAGTGATTCACTTCAGAATTGTATAATTTTACACCCACAGTCTTCTGTCATCTCCACCCACTTCCTCAGAAGAAAAACGAAAACAAAGCTGTTGTGTGAAAAGTATTTGTGTTTATTTTGTCTGTCGTATTAAAACTGGGTTGTTTTGAAGAGTGCTTGATAGAGATAGCCTTTATTTCTTCTCCAGCAGCTACACAGCTGTTAATACGACCATCTTCCGGCAAAGAGCAATGCTGCATGTCTGCATGGTCAGGGCTCTAAAATAGGGTCTGACTGAGAACTGAAACAGAGCCCTGCATGCTGACAGCTTACTGCTGACCTGATGTCAGAGGCTGCCTACGCAGGAAAGTGCTTTCATAGCTAAAGATCTGTGATAAAATTATGTGATTAAAAATGGCAGATTCTTAAGTTTGGATATACTGTCCCTATAAACAAATGGGACAGCTGGTATTTGGTTGGTTCTTCAGGTAAGTGTGTGTGTGGTGTCTTTACTACCCTAGATGATAATTAGTGCTGTATGTTTGCATTTTATTAAAAAATCTAGTTGAGGCTTATAAATCTAGAATTAGTGTTTTTTGTATAGAACAATTTTTCTTGATATGTCTTAATTTCCTGGTTGGTTTATGTCTGTATTAAGAAAAAAAACTTTAAGATAAAACTTATGCTTTAATGTCAGACTGTATTATATACACAGTATATTTTTATTGAAAGCTTAAGGTGTTTCAGGGTCTTCTCCAGTTGTTTCTAAATATAGTCATTTTCTGGTTCTACAATGCTTAAAAGTTCAATGTTTCTCTTTGAATACCTCAAAGATCACAGCAGAAGGCATGCTTGCTGTAGCTGAGAGTGTGTTTTCTGGATTCACTGGTCACAGCTTGGCAGATTAGCACCAGTGGCCACCAGAGTCAGAAACTGCACAACCTGAAAATGTTTGTGGTTTGTACAGTGGGAGCCTATTTCTTGGTATGTTACTGTGAGGTTTCTAGAAGCACAATCCTAGCGTGCATTGAACTGTTGGTGCCCTGTGGAGGTTAAAGAAAAGCGTAGGATGACCTGGCCTAAGTCCTGTTGATTCAACTGCAGGCTTTTTACATATGGAGATAGGTGCTGGCAGCCTGTCATACTGCTATGCACCCATCACACTGGCCTGATGCTGCCCAAGTGACATTGCCTTCACATTCCTGCAAAATAAAAGGCTGCCTATGGGAACAGACGTTTTATCGTTGCATGAGTCCATGAGTTATTTCCAGAAATGGGATTTTGAAGACTTCTAGACACCTTGTCTGAATACCAGCAGCCATATCACTCTGCAAGTCACAACTGGCAGCCCACTGGAGCTCAGCAGGTGTGAGCCTGGTCAGTACCTGGATGGGAGACCTCCTGGGAAAAACTAAGGTCCCTGCTGGAAGAGGTGTTAGTGGGTCCAGCAGGGGGCGCTCACCCTGCGGCTCATGTGGGTCCTAATGCCCCAGTATAGTGACGGGGACACTATACTGTAAACAGGCGCCGTCCTCCGGATGAGACGTAAAACCGAGGTCCTGACTCTCTGTG